AATAAAACAGAAACACAGAATAATAAAAGCAATAATTACAACGATACGTCAGTCAGGTCTATCAGGTCTACCATGATACAGGTACAAGGTTATTTTATGTTTTAGTGTTCAGATCAGATACTATTCAAATTAGCTAAATTTACGAATGACAGTGTCAGTGTAAACTATCTACAAGTAAGAAGATTAATTATGAGTCTGAATAATGAAACGATTTAACGTCTTGAGTTCCTACAATCTCACTTGTGGAATTGTATTTACTTACAGCTGTAAGCACAGTTAAGTCATTTTCGGTGCAGCAGACAAACGATGAGAGTAATTTTATTTCATGGACAGATTGTGATAAGCTATTCTACAGTCTCAACGGTTTACTGTTTAAGTAATTCACCCTGTTTTATCTTCTTAAGTAAATCTAATTTTCTAAATTTTATTTTCTAAAAACATCAATTAAATTTGATCAGGTAATACACAAGATCATTTACTTACTTAAACAAAAAAAATCTCAGACTGTGAAATAATATTTATTCGTATTGGTTGGTTGGATCTGTTTAAACTTGAATTGATCAGTTTCTTTTGGTATATGTCTATTGTGTAAGGATTGCCTCCGTACAGCCATTAAGTCAAAAGTATCATAAACAGAGACGTATGGCGGCTAAAAATGAGATCTAGGACGTGCGTTTCATCCAGTTTGGAAATCACCAACGGGATGTACCTGTATGCCATAGTTGATGTGTTCACTTCGTGACTCAAAAGATTCACCATATTAATCTCAATATGAAAAGACACTTCTGTTAAAAAGTATGATCAATATCATATGATAAATCAAACAAACAAACAAAAAACAAACTGACAGCACTTTAGGAAAAACTAAGTAGTCATTTGATTACAAATCACTTAATCTCATCTTAAAAAGTCAATAAGACGCATATTACTGTAGTAAACACACTGAAGTTTAGAATTCATTAAAATTAGGATCATTTTATTATGAAACAGAATAGTTTTAATTTTTAGTTATATAATCGAATCTAAAAGCCAACCTATAAATCAATATCAAGATCGAAATTCATCTTTTCTGAACTGTTCAGCTTAATTTTATTCCAGAATAATGATGAGTAGTCAATATGTAAAAGTTGATTGACAGTCCTGATAATTTTTTTTCGACTAAAACCTTGAAATAAATAACACTAAGATTCCAAGTGACCAAACAATAAAAAATAACAAATGTATAAAAGGACAACGATTTATAAATAGTCAGTCCATAAGTTTGGTATTAGCCCTTATAAATCTCATTCCCTGAAACACAAAAAATATATATTCAGCTGTTTTGACATTCTATTGTCTATCATTTCACTGTAGACATCATCTTTCAACCCAAGATTGCTATCGGTCAGTCAGTCAAGGTTGTGATATACTTTGACAAACATTAATGAAACTCTCACCAACACCCCGCGAATAGGCTGCATCAAGTTAACATCTGATTTTACCAAACTCGATGGTGAGAATTTCGAAAAAGAACGAAAATCCTGAGAACCATAAAAAGTAAACTAATCATTAGCAGTACTTTAGTTGACGACTTAAGATCATCAGGTTCTGATGTCTGACAACTGTATTTACTGTCCACGGTACGTAGGTAGGATGTTATCTTTTCCTGGACATGAATAACTCCTATTCAAATGTAACTGCAAAACGGTTGTTGAAGTTCCTTTAATTAGTTAGAAACCATATCAAGAAACATTGATTTCACTCCTGACTCGTTTGACTTCATCAATTCAATAGCCTCCAGCAATGTATCTAGAAATAGAATCATATGATTGGATGCTGCCCACAATAGAGATTATTGTCTACGTAAATCTATTCAAATTTAATAACATCGATGCTGGTTTTCCAGAACACAACCTGAAGAAACTACTTTGATGTACTACTACTACTTTGATGTTGAATTCTACAAACAAATGAACGGTGTTACAATAAAAACTCCACTGAGTCATCTCACAAAATGGTACGCGTAACCATAAGAGATATATGTAAGATAATTTGATTGTTAGTGATGAAAACAGTGACCTCAAATATATTCCATATGAGCTCATTATATGTCATCAGTCCATTAGATTTACACTGGAATAATAAGTGGTAGAATAAATTAATTTTCACAATGTTTGGCCAAAATGAAGACAGGATCAGTTCACAAAAAGAGCCACATGTAGACATCAAACATGGAATAGGCGATGCACAGACATCCATAAATGTTTTTTTTTATTAAGTAGGAAGGCTAAAGCTAATACATTTTCTACCCTCAAAACCTAGAAGAATGTGAACAGAAAGCATAGTTGACAAAGAACTGTAAGAAATAAATCAAATAAATGTGAAAACTGGATTTCATCCCAGATTTTATAACAAAAATCACTGAAAAAATCTCCAGAATTCAATAAATTTAACGGCGTGTAACAAGATTTTGTTTATAAATGTTGAGTTTAAAAGGCAAAAGGGTGAAGAGATTTTCAGAAAATATCCTACAGTAAACACGAACAAGGATGGCGTCCTAGAGACGAATGCAGGTCAATCAATAGTCCTATAGCTGAACATCTGACCAACTGTATCCCCAACAAAATTACTGGTTGAGTCTGAAAAACCGGTTCTTAGGGTAGCTAGATAAATGCTTTTCCATAGCATCATGATTCAGGCTTAGTCGTTATATTAATAGGTGGCACATTTTGCCGGTCCTCATCGTATTTCATAAGATATTATTTGCACATGTTCGTCATCTTCATCTTTCTTACACATTAACTGAACAATTACCTTTCATATCTCTTTTCCACCTTTACCTTCATTCTTATAAACCCTTGACTAAAAAGTAACTTAATGACTTTTTCAGATTAACTCATAATAATTTTCCTAACGATTCAACAATATTCTATTTTATCATAGAATATGATGCAAAAAAGTAGCTTTAAAAATGATAGTACAGCTTTAGTAAATGATATCAGCGAGATATTTTTTCACCGAACTATCCCAGCTGAATGGTTTAATGAGTTATTTCAAAAATAATAGAAACATCTCATTTCAACCCGTAATAAAGGAACTTTAACTTTCTAATTTAATCAATAAATGTTAGCAAGTTTATACACGATAGTTCTTCTGTTTGTAAAACAACAAATGTTTTTTTAAAAATTTTGATTGATCTTTTCAAGTGTAGTCAATTCTGTCTTTTTTTAAGGTTCAAATATTATACACAAGTAGACATTTATGTATTTTGAGATATACGTGTTAGCTAAAAGAAAACTTAGCATGTCAAATAAAGTAAATACAATAGACTCAGTAATATTGAAAATAGCATTTTGGCCAGCTGAGTTAAAGTAATCAGTGTTGAAGATTGACATATGCGTCACTCAGCAGTCAGAAAAAGCTTCAAAATCGATCCACTACATCAACCAATCAGAGAACAAATATACGACCGAGAATCAGATCAGAGGGAAATACTATCAAAATAAAGATACAGATAATGACAAGTTAAAGGTAAATAAAATATCCAATTAAGACCAAGGTCGAGAGGACAAAATGGGACTTAAAGTGGCGAAATTCGAATACTTCACTTGTACCAGAAGTTTGTGCTAGTGATCAGACAAACAGTGAAAGATCATGACGACCAATCCATCCAGCTCAGAGAATAGAACTCCACCGTCACAAAAACTGTTTGATTGTCCCATACTGAAAGACCACCCAATACTTCCCAATTTTAATGGATGTCTAACATAAGCCACTTACTGTTATCGGTAACAGTTCTTATGCTTGAAAATCTGTCTCAAATAACTAGTGTACTAGTTTCATATCATACGATAGGATTTATTTTAGTTAGAGCTTGGTTCGTCTAGTATAATTAACTGTCATATTATTCACTATTGAAAAAAGCTTATTCACATCATAGCAATTTATTTTTTAGTCTCTTAGTCAACCCGCATAATTATACTTTTCTTGGCTAATATTCATTCGATTTAACAATCACCATTGACTTGGTACTCATTGATTCTACACATATATCTAAAAATACTAAATTAATATATTCAATAATCACGTGTACCCTTATGTAATAAATAATTCATAAGTAAGCAGAAAAAAGTAAACAATTTTTGCAACTGTTATTTACTGACCTGTTATTAGTTAGTATTTAATTTTGTGTTAATTTACCATTTCTAAACACTATAGTTCTTATTAGATACAATGACAGAAACATCAGAAAAAATTGACAACAGGTTTGCTTTGCTTCTGTACACACTAATTTTTCAAAGTTTTGATTAGTCCTGTTTGAGCTACTTTTATTCAATGAAGCAGTCTCTGACTTCCTGGCAGCGGTATCATCAGTGACTAGAATAACAAATGAAGAACGACATTTCTACAAGGTGCTTGAGAGAGACAGATTTATACTAAAATGGTTCAGGAACAGTAAATTTAACAGAATAACTTGGATTCAATCTATTTCCTGATTTCCTATTGAGGGGATTGAGGCAGGCTCGATAGACCGTACTTAGCAGATTTACACTCTTAGTCATTTAAGAACGAAAACATTACATTGAATACTCTATTTGCACACCATCTTTGAGTCCTGACTTCCAACGCTCCAGCCTTCTTCCATTCCTGCTGTTGCTTCCTTTACTTCCTGTCGGTGCTCTATTTATTTCTTGCTTTTGCTCCATTTGCTTTCCGTTTTTCTCTTCTGACCATGGGACTTCTTCTTTCACGTCCATTCTTATACTACTTATATCGTTCGTATAAGTAGCACACACCACACTATGAGCTGTAAACAACATGAACAGAAAACAATTTTAACCATTAAAAATCAGGTGTGCATAATTTATATCACATAATATCAGAAATATTCTCATCGATAAGGAATAATGAAACGGCAATAAATATGAGAGCATCATAAAAGATTTTCAAATGGTAGAATTTTTTTTAATGATAAATAATATGACAATTCAACGGCAATAATTACTTGTTCTGTTTTCCTAGGATCTATGCTTGGTGGTAGTATATATGTACTTACTGGTGCTGTGATGAATAGACGTACTGGGCCTGCAGTATTTTTGGCGTATATATTGGCTGGCTTTGTAGCATTACTTAATTCATTAAACTACTCAGAATTAGCATGTCGAATACCCAAGGTAAAAAAAAAATCATATCGATTTTAAGTTGATTAACATTTTCTAACAGAAGTTTCATTAATTATTATGTTCATTTACTACTGGTTGCTGTATTGAACAATTGAACAGATACTACAGCTGATCACAATTAAAACAATGTTTACCTGCATGATTTATATTCGTCTGGATAAATACAGTTTTTTTTTTCAAAATGAGAGGTTACTTTTCCGGTTAAAATATAAATAACATATGAAACTAGTTCAAAAATCATTGTCTACAGTACATCAGTTATTTTGTTACTAATAATTTGACTGTGTTGATCTACCGAATTGAAATCTAATGAAAATGGTAAATTCATTCGATTACTATTCATATGTGGTTACATAATTCCATTCATGGTCAATAGTGTTAGACTCACAGTCATTCAAGTTGTATGTATTGTACTGAATAATAATCATTGCAAATCAATCATTTATATTCAGTGAATGATAAATATTTCTTAGAATGATTCTTTGCACCAAAAGAAAAGCGGTTAATTTATTAGGAGTAGAGTTACTCGAAAATTACCATAATATGCTTTTACATGTGATATTTATGAAGTTGTAGACACATTTTAAGCTAGTAAATTTTTAAACAATGAATCAATGTACGATCAGTTTTGTCAATGAGTTGATGTAGGATGAAAATTATTTTTCAATAAAATATGATTGCAGCCATGATAAATTGATCACAAGCTGATCATTGTGCGCAAAAAATAACAGTACATCTTAGCTATCTTTTATAGCTCTCAGGTTAGTACAACCACTACTATCCAGTTAAAAGTGAACCGGTAAGTTTTCCCCTAGACAAAGGAGTCGTGGATGCGCACTGCTGACGAGTCCCACACAAGGACGAAACCGCCGTCCAGTGCTTCCAGGTTTCCGATGGTGGTCTAACATTGATCGATTCATGATTTCAAATATGTACCTTAACAATCTTCACAACCCTGTAACGCAAAGGAATAATAGTTGAAACATCATAAAATATGAGATTTGAATATACGTGAGGTTATGTAGGAATATACACTTCTGAGAAACATAATTCTGTCCGAGGCTACAAGCTTTCAACTGATATAATTCAGAGGATTCTTGTCTTCGATGAAAACTATCTTTGGACTTATACATTGCGAAGCAAAAAGTGGTTACTCAGTAATTCAAATAAATTGAAAACGTCCATTAAATGTTATCTGAAAACGTAGTAAAAGTTGTGTAGAAATTCAACGTATTGAGCTTATAGACTTTTTTCTTAATCAATTATTACTGAATATATCTAATACGATCAGACATCTATTCTCGATTCATTGAGAGTTGAAGGAAAAATACCCATTAATAGTTCTGTCTCAACATTACATATATATACATATGAAATCATCGATCAATCATTGTTAGACCATCATTAGAAACCAGGAAGCACTAGACGGTCCTGGTATGGGACTCATCAGCAGTTCGCATCCACAACTCCTGCTCTTCATAGGATTTGAACGTGGGACCTTCGGTATGGTGCGCAAACGCCTAACTATCGGACCACTGGGCCGGCATCCAACGGTGTTAATGTCTAACTCTGATTGATCTAGGGATTTCGTGCGACCTCACCCATTTGTCTTTGGTAATTACTGTCTACACCCGACAGGGTTGAACTCCATTGGTCACGTCTTCTCAACTAGAACTCCGATAATTTCCTCACGAAGCTAGTCACTATATATATATATAAATTATTGTGTTCATCCGAAATTCTCTATCATTTCTCTTTGAAATATATATTTGCTTAAAAATTCCAAGGTGATACTCAATCACAGTAACAGTTCAAGATTTCATAACAGATCTTTGGTTGGTTCTATTTTTTTAAGGGATATTATATTTCCTTTATTTTTTCTCTCATTTAGGCTGGTTCTTCTTACACATATACATATTTTATTATGGGTGAATTTCCTGCTTTTATAACTGGATGGGCAATTTTACTTGAGTATATACTAGGTATATCACTTGTCGCAAGATGTTGGAGTAGTATGCTTGACAGTTTGGCCGATAATCACATAAGTAAATGGACAATACACAATGTTGGTAGGTAGGTATAGTTTTTATGCAATTTATTTTATGATTTTACATTAATTGTTCTGGTAAATATACATCTCAAACTAACTCTATCTAAACAACAATTAGAAACCAGAGAGCACTAAATAGCTGTCTCGTACAACTTCTCAGCAAAGATCACCAATGGAATCCCGGTTTTTCTTGATGTTAAAACATTAATAAGGAAACACTTTGTATCTAAGAAATAGCTCCTCTGGATAAGATGCAGGAGCATCCACATTAATTCCGTACCTGTCAAAGCAATCTTATAAAAAATACCATTGCCGTAAATGCATTATTCATTGATAAAGAGAACACACCTGATACAAACTAAAATAACTAATTAAAGATAAAGAGTCACTCAAGAGACACTTACTTCATTTCATATAGAGTGGGAGAATATTTAATGAATTCTGACAGACCAAAATGTGGATGAAGTGTAAACTCTATCATTTACAATCTGCTATGCACTTCTGACTTGATTACTGAGTTTAATTTTACTAGTTTCAAGATATATGAGTTGCTCATATATTAGTTTTGGTTTGCTATTTTTACCTTAAGTCTTGTCCAGTAGCTTGAGTACAATACTTTCGTTTCCATTTATTGTAATAGGTCGTTTAATATGGTTCTTATTTGAATTTGAAAAATTGTCTCAGTTTTCTCTTTTAAACCGATTGTAGTTTGAAATAATCAAAATATTTTAAGCATAACATTCGTTGTCTTGTTAAATAAACTGTCAAAATGGACTTGCATGAGGAGCATTTTTCTATTTGTGTACGCGTTATAACTTTAAAACCAAAAGATAAAATATCGATTTATGTATACGTAAAGTCTACTGAGGAACAAGCCCAAACACAATTCTCTTGATGCATGTTCAGTATTCCTGAAGCTTACGTTAGTTAAGATGGTTTCAACGATTGCAAAGATGTACATTTAAATTTGTCTTATATAACTAAAGTAGATATAATCATACATATAAATCTGACGATCTAGTTCATACAACAGAAGTGATATTGTGGTGCGCGCTACTTATAAGTAGTATATGACACGAGTCTAAATGTAATGTCTGGCACCAGAAGATAGGGGAAGATCAAGAAAGGAAGAGTGGGAACACAATGGAATTTGTATGAAACGCATGAACAGTGGTGAAATGTCAAACAATGGATTGATGATTGATTGAAGATTTGCAAATTAACGGTTACGATATGGTTTTCTAATTTTACTGAGTAACTCTGTAATTTTCGTTAAATACAATTCGGTTGCCCTCACCTGTGTTCTCCTTCACTACAATATAAATGTAACCCGATTATATGTGATTAAATAACGTCCATACTACTGGAAATATAATACTTTAGTTCTTTAGAGTTTGTATAGACACTATGGCCTAATAAGGCTTTTAAATATGCAATGTAGGACATTAGATTTCTTCACAAAATACTTGTCATTTCTCCCCTGCTACGGCTTGACAGAAAGAATTTGAATCTGCAACTAACAAAATGGAATCTAGGTACTTCAGCTGTTAAACCATATTCTTCCAACGGTTCTCTAGCACTCTTCGAAATGATGTAGAAACTGTCATTTAAATTCTATTGTTGAATCTAAAACTAAAAAAAAAATATCTTCAAATTGATAAACATTTATCAGGCTAACTTTTCTACATTTCTTTATTCTACAGATTATCTCATCCAGGTGGAATATTAGCTGAATATTATGACTTTGTTGGTGTATTCTTAATTATCATATTATCAGCTATATCATGTTGTGGAATTCGTAACAGTGCAAAAGTAACAGCAGTTTCAATTTTTATCAATGTTGGCGTATTAATTGTAACATCAATCTATATGTTTGTCTATAGTAAAACAGAATATCTATCTATCACTTCACCTAATATTACAGTTGATAAATTATCACCAAATCCAAATTTTTTACCATTTGGTTTACCTGGTTTAATAGGTGGTACAGCTATTTGTTTCAATGTATTCATTGGATTCGATGCAATATCAACATGTGCAGAAGAAGCTAAAAATCCTAGTTATAGTTTACCTAGAGCAAATATTATAGCTGTGGTTATAGTAGCAATTTTAACTACACTTTCTTCATTAGCATTAACTATGTATTATCCATGGTTTCTTATTAGTACAGAAAGTTCATTTTTAAGTGCATTAAAAGGTAATAAATTGAATGGTGGACCAGAAAATGTACGAACTGGAATGTTTTATTTTGTTGGTATTGGATCATTAATTGGATTAATTGCTTGTTTAATTACATCATTAGTTGCTGCACCAAGAATTAGTTATGCTATGGCTCAAGATGGTCTTATTCCAACTATTTGTTCACAACTTTGTCAACCTTTCAAGGTAAATCGATAGATTATATGATCAGTATATATATGTATTTAATCTCTAATTTCGCCATCTAAATATTTTGATACATCTGTATTAAAAGCTAGGATGAAAGAACAGTTTAATTTTCACAAGTTCTTCGTAGTTATAAATATGACTGCTACTTTTCTATACTTGAACCAATAATACTGTGGTGCGAGCTACTTATAAGTAGTATATGACGTGAGTGTCAACGTAATGTCTGGCAGCAGAAGATGGGGGAAGATCAAGAAAGGAAGAGTTAAAACACAACGGAATTTGTATGAAACGCATGAATAGTGACAATGGATTGATGTTTTGCAACAGGAACAGTCCAGTCCGATATGATGGATTGATATTTTGCAAATGAACGATTTACGATATGGTTTTCCGATTTTACTGAGCAACTCTGAGTAATTCTGGAACAGAAAAAGGTATAATAATAGTTACTGT